TTGAGACAGTGTCTTGCTAAATTGCTGAGGCTGGCCTCAAATTTGTGATCTTCCTACCTCAGTCTCCCTGGTCACTGGGGTTACAGGTGTGTTTCTTTGTGCCTGGCCATCTTTCTACATTTTTAAGTGGATGCTTAGCCATTTTGGTATTATATAGCTATACCGTAATTTATTTAACTAGTGCTTCCCACTGTTTTTTTTTTTAACATTGCTTCATTGAATATCCTTGAACATATATTTCTGCACACTGATGTGAGAATTTCTATAGAATATATTCCTAGAAATGAAATTTCCAGATCAAGCTTATATATATTTAAAATTTTAGTAGAGTCTGCCATTTTGCCATCCCAAAGATACCAGTTTACATTTCCACCAGGAGCATAGGTGGACTGGGAGTCCTACTGGCCTAGAACCCATTTCTAATTCTTACTCTGCTATTCTAATCGCCCCACCCCCACCTTTTTTGCTGGTGGGGGCGGGGGTGGGTGGGTTATTGGTGGATTGAATCCAGGGGCTTTCTACTGCTGCGCTATATCCCTAGCTCTTTTATTTTGAGACAGGGTCTAAGTGCTGAGACTGGCCTGGAACTTGCCAACCTCCTGCCTTAACTTCCTGAGTAGCTGGGATTACAGGTGTGTGCCACTGTACCTGGCTCAGTCTTTTCTTTAGAAAGCTTTTAGAACTCCAGTAATCTCTTGTGTAGGAGTTTAAACCTGATAGTCTCATGTATTCCTTACTCATTGACCTGATACTTATGAAGCACTTAATATATGCTAGGCACTGTGTTGAGTGTGGATTATAGTAGTAAATATGACTGTTGCCCTTCTAGAGTTGACAAACCATTGGAGAAGTTAAATAACTAAACATAGAATGTTGTAGAATGAGCTTTGTAAGGGAAGATGATTGGGGGGCAGGAGGTATGGGAATATGTAGTAGAGAGTGTAGGAATTGTGGACAGCCCCTCTGAAGAAGTGATCTTTGATCATACACTTGAAGGAGGAATAAGAGTGACAATTACAGTGAGGGAAGGGAAGAGCAGTCCAGTGATATTCAAGATGGAATGATGGGATTCAATGATGGATGTAGTGATAGGGAAAAGGAAAGATTTATGCATCACTTGTTCATTTCTGGCTTGAGCAGCAGGGTGAATGATGGTGTCATTTATGGCAGTAGGGGACTTAGAAGGAAGATCTGTTCAAGAGAAGATGCTGAATTCAGATTTAGACAAGGTGAGTTTGAGGGGCTGCATATGAGGTATCCACATAAAGACAGGTCAAGAGCTCAGGAGGCCAGGCCTCATATGGAGAGAGTTAAGAACCTTCAAAGCTGGGTTTGGTGGCACACTCCTGTAATCCCAGCAGCTTG